GGGGAATTCTGGGAGTTGGAGTCCACCCATCCGAAAGCTGCCAAGGTTGAGAAACACTGCTGTAATGCAAGCTCCCACCACAGGGGTGTTTCCATGCAGGTTCACTAGTGAAAGGCTGTTGTGGCGGGTTGGACATTTTCAAGAGATGCCCAAGTCGTATCCGTGGCCTGGAGTAAAGCTGAGGTGGCCACTAATCCAACAGGCTACCCTGCCCCAACACAGCTTAGTTCAGTACAGGCGACTAAGCCCTTCTGAAATCTTCCCTGTGTGTGATGAAAAACAAGCAAGAATGGCTTGCTTAGAATAGCAACCTATGTTGTTTAGGCTTGCATTCATATCCAAATACAGGGTGAGCCAACTGAAGCTCGCTGCTATGCTCCAGAGAACCACCACAGTGTCTCTAGTCAGGCCTTTCTGTTGCAGAAAACTGTTCCCACTGCCAGGAGAAACCACACCACAACATCCAATGAAAATCTGCACTAGGCAGTCATCTCTCTGTTAACCTCAACCTCAAGGAGAAAGAAGTTAACAACATTTATACCTGGAGATCTTTAACTGGGTTAACTGTATATCCATCTTGTCAATCACTGGAGGAGGAGTATTCTCTTCCCCAGAGACCAGAGTGAACTCATTCCAAACTCTGATTAAGCCAAGATCTGCTATCAGTACATTGCTGGACACAGAAGACTGAGGAATCACTATAACTGGAGCTTTCAGGTCGATGTCCATTGAGAGGCGAAAGCTCTTTTGAGCAAAATCCTTCATGCTGGAAGCAGCCTTTTCTGCGGCTTGAACTGTGGCAGCACTCAGGGCCTCCTTTGCAGTTTGGAAGTGATTTAGGAAATGCTAAGCAAAGACAGAATTACACAGCCTGATTAAGCAGAACCAGCATAAGTTCAAAGCGATTCAAGAAGGAAAGATACAAATGGATCCAACAGGTGAGTTTGTAGCCAGTATTTTTTTTTAAAAAAAAAAAGCTAAACAAGTATTATTGTGTGAACTCCACCAACTAACAGTCCCATTCCCAAGTGTCACAACATAAAGGAAGAAGAACTTGGAGTAATGGGGCTGGAGTGTGCTGGAAGTGATCTCATTCTTTTCTGTCATTTGTGATGAGATTGGGATCTTGATCCAGAAAATCAAACTCCTAAACAACATTTGAAAAGTCTAAGGCAAGTCAACAGAAAGATCACGCTCTCTTACCAGAAGCGACATGAAGAATTTATGCACATAAACAATCTGGACGCAGCCCACTTTCAGAGACATCTGACCATCAACCTTGGACATATCCATATAAGCATCTCCCTCTGTGGCATCAGAATAAAGGGACATCGTGAACCGGAAGACTTCATCTCCCACTATCGAGACTGTCTGCAAAGATCGTATTTACCGTGATTAGGAGTGAGTTGATCTCTCTGGTATCATCCTCCATCATCTTGCCTACCCTGCCCTTTAGTAAGGAAAAAAGGTCCCCAGGGAATAGGACAAAGGTCTTATGGCCTAAAAAAGGCACATGTAGTAATTTTAGGGAGCATTCATTAAAAGCCAATAGTGCTGGTCTTTAATTTGAAACGGGGGACCCCTGTTCTCTCCTCCTGGTTTAACTAGATCCTGCATTAGCCTCAATAGCTTCCCAGGTTGCTCAGTCCCAGTTTCCTCCTGAAAAGCTTCCAGCTCCCCCAGGCCCCACTCCCTGCCCTCCAATCCCGTTTCTCCGTCTCATAAGGAAAAGGCAAAGTGCGAACCGCCCAGAGGATGCAACCTCCACTTCCTCAACACATTCAAGATGGGCTATTTTCCCTCCGCCCTTCTCTTTTGTTCTGTTCTTAACTTCCAAACTTGTTCATGAGGCTCATTTCAGCAGTCTCAATTCCATGGTCACCTTTTTATGAACAGTTTCCGGATCAACGTTTGTTATTATGAAATCCCGAAGCCTGGCAAAAACTTCAGTGTGCTTTGTTGTTGTGAACACACAGGCCTCCATGCCTAGGGAGAAAGGAAGACAAAACAAAGGGGGATGCATTCAACTTTTGACAAAAGTTCTGACACAGGAATTTTTCTTAAAGAACTGACACTGATTCCATAACTAGCAGTCCTCTCTTGCTTGTAGTAGGCAAAATAATTGACCCAAGGACTGAACCAGAAGAATTCAATCCTACAGCAACAGCAGGGGCTAAATAATGGTGGGGGGGGGGGTTTGACATTTTTCTGACTCCCTGTACATTATCTCAAATGCACTTACCTTGTATTCGGATATCTGCAATATTAGCTTTCTGATCACAGACCAAAACATTAAAGGCATTCAGTTTGGCAGTGAGCTTCAATTCAAACACATCATCGCTGGCTGCAGTAGCAGCAACTGCAGAACAAGAAGACATCTGTCAGCTCATTAGGCGCTCCTTTTCAGCAGTGCTCCTAACTCTTCATCCACTTCCTCGTCTTGTAATCCTCTTTAGCCTCCTCCTCAGTTACATCACACCAGCTTTTCTTCTTTTCTGCCCCCCACTGCCCCACATTCCTGAACTTTCAAAGCCATGCAAAGAAACTTGAAAATTCAAAATGCTTCTTAAATTAATGAACCACCTTGGCTCAGCATTATCAAAAAGGATCCACAGAGAGCGCAAGAGAGAGCGAAAAAGAGAGAGGGAGATCAACCCTCTGATACCTGATTTTGCAACAGCTAATTTGGGCTCCTCCGACTGTTCCTTTACATCAGTCCCCTTATCAGCTGGTGTAAGACTGCCTGAGGCATATGTGAAAAAATTCATGATAGAAACCAAGGCATCGGTGTGCAAAAGTAAGTCTAACGAAGAAAAGGAGACCTGAAAAAAGGAAGAAAATAAATCAGGGGGTCTCTGCCATCTCATCTGAAAGCAGGTTTTTATTATTTCTATTATGAAAAAATGCCCTTCAGCCTATGTAGGTTAAATGGAAGTTATTTTGCTTTAAAAAAATACAATTAGAACCTGAAATCTTTTTAGTTAAACTAACATTTGTTCTCAAAATGACACCAAGAGCATTCTATATTTGTAGCTAACATAGTAATATGTTTTAATACTTACATTCAACAATTGCTTTGTTTTATTGTAAACTGTTTCAAAGTGAGGACCATCTACATCAGCCTAAGTGAAAATCAAAATTGCAGTTTATTGCAAATGGTGAAGCAAAATCTAAGCATACATAGGCTCAAGCAAACTATTAAGTTCAAACAGGGGTACGTGGTCAAAAAAGTCACGTCGGCAGACACAGCGGTGCAATCAAAGCTCCTCCTGGTTCAGTCCCACCATTGCAGCCACCATCCTGACATGTTTTACTATATCCTGCAGGTGGCCCTGGGTTCAAATATCTAACCTTTTTGGCCAACCACTATCTCAGCAGAGTAAGCGCATGCCATGTTACCGCTAGAAATGCCACAGAGGAGACTAACCTGGGTACTGTTCGACTCCCAGGACCAGAGGGCAAGAAAGAAAAGTGGAAAGGAGTATGCACTCTCTTTCCTGTCTAGAAACAGGCGCCCGCCTCACTATAAAACCGACCGGTCAAAACGGACAGGCCAGCACTGTCCAGCCTTCTAGCAGAAGCCTCAGTCTGATGACTACTAGCAACTAAGATTCAATTCAATTTTTTGTAATGCATATTAATTTGCATTATTTTACTTTGCTCCTTCATATAAAATAATTGGCTTTTTATTTTAAACATCAACTCAAAATACCCCACAGTAATTTTTAGTTTAAAAAAACTGTTCTACCTTAACATATTCCATCTTTAGAAGATGCTTGCCGGATTCATCTGAAGAACTAATAATATTTAATGGATCTCCTTTGGAATCTGTAGAAACAATGCAATTCATATTTAAACAGTTGTAAGCCACTCGTTGCCAACAGATTCACTAAGCAAGTAAAAGTTGATTAATACAGGAAAGATGGTAATTTCTTCATTGATGCAGTGTTCCTCAAAAGAACAGTTGTAGAATTTAAGAAACTGGAAATTACCCAAAATATAAACAGATGCTTCACAAGCTTGATAAGATCCTCCTGTCTATGAAGGGAAAACTGGCTTGTTTTAGCATTAAAGATTTACATCTCAATAGTCATTAATTTGCCAAGTTATATAATTTCTCAATTCAGTTTTTCTCTTTAGGAAAAATCCTTGCAGTCAAAATTAACCCAGAATAACAGTGTCTCACATTTCTAGCCATATTCTCTAACATATTTCTTAAACCACCCAAACCCACCTACCACTAAATAATTACAGGAACTGAGAAAATGGGAGTCTTTATGGAAAAATAGCAAGTTAAACTAGTCCCTTAAAAATGCTTTAAAACTAAACTCAAATACAGCTTTGCGTAATGAATAAGAATAAAAAGTCACAACACAAAATTTAAATATTTAGAAAAACTCGATCTGCAGCTTAACATTGTCATATAAAAATCTGTGTCTAATCTGATTTACATTTGTCAAAACCTAAATTAAATATGACTTACCAGTGAATTCAAGGCAATTCATCTGGATTTTCTTAAGATATGCTGTAACAGTCATATCATGCATTTTAATTCTGCCTTCACTTCCAAGTTTTAATACTGTTAGCCTGTATAAAGGAAAACTTTGCTTTTCCACTTGTTTCGTTAATGTTACTGAAACCTAAAAGGGGGAGAATAAGGTATCTTAAAGACTGCATGGACGTGTTAAGAATACATCAACCATTCATATCCCAGTCTTCTATCTACATTTCCCATTTTGCCAAGCCATCTTCAAGGAGAGAGGTGTGTTGTTGTAGGAAGAAACAGGAATTCATTTCAGTCAGATTCATGAATATGCCAAAGAAGTCATTTCTAGATTCAACAGAGCATCCAATCAGAACACACCAAGTTCTGACCTTGACTCGTCCAGGTGGAGGCACCATCCAGCTGGGTCTGACTCATGACTCCTGAGAAGCCACCACCATTTCCCACACCAGGATGAGCTACGGCAAGTGGGGCATTAACCTACTCCCCCATCCCTTTTCACCCCTCCGCAGAAATCTGAAACGTTCCCTTGGGAGGGGAGCACATGCTTTGCAAATGGGCACTCCCAAGCTCAACTGCTACCTCCACCTAGTATGACAGGGAAAGACCCTCCAGATAAATGCTGGAAGCCCACTGGGAGCAAAGAGAGCTGGACCAATAACAGTCACAGTTCCTCTGGTCTAGGTAAAGCACATACACCTGTCACGCCAGAAAGGAGTCATAGGAAGAAGAACAAATGAGGCTGTTCTTGCCACCGCTTATCCAGGGATACCGTGGGTCCCTTAGGTCTGAATTAGGCTTAATCTGCTTCTGTATACTTATTCAGAAGTTGAATGTTACACTGACAAGCACAGTAATAACCAATGTTTTTTAAAAAATCTAAAAAGTAGGGTCCATGTGTAATACAACAACTGAACTGAGACAGATTCACAAGCTTTCTTACCTTGTTTATTTCAAAGTTCAGCAGCAGATTGGTTCTATCTTCCTTCAGGGCTTCTTCTGAGATGCTTGGTTTCTGAGCTCCAGTTGTCTGCGTCGTTTCTTTTGCCTTGTCCGCTAATTCCAAAACAAGAGACTTCCATTTGAAGAAAGCATTTTTACCTCTTGTTGCAAAAGCAATACTTGTCAGTTTCAGACGTCAGCTATGAGCCTGGATCAGGCCGAGAGCCCCTCTCATTTAGAATATCTTCCCTGCTGCAGTCCGCCCGCTATCAGCTGTCAGTCCACAGCAGGACACGGCACATTAGCTCCCTCCTAGTCACACGACAATCCTGCCCGACCACTGGCTCAAGTGGCCCTGGAGCTGGAGAGCGACACCACCGTCAGTCTTAACCAGCTTTAATTCATTATTGCCCACCTGCTTCGCTCTCTTTTCAAGCTGCCCAAGGTGGCAGGCTCCAGTGTCTTTTATGGCAGGGAATTCCAGAGTTTCATCATGTACTCCATGAAACGGAATATCTATTTGCCCGGAATTTCTCCCCATTCAGCTTCCCGGGTTTTAGTACTTTGAGAGAGGAATAAAAATTCCTCAGACCCATCTTCTCTCCACAAACACATCTTGACAGATTTTTTATGTGCCTTTTTCCTCAGCTGAAATTCCGCAAATGCTGCGCTTGGTGCTCAGAGGGGAACTGCTGGAGCAAATGCTGGATTGGATGGACACTTAGCCTCACACTTCTTATTGTTCTGATGGCTCTGAGGACTTCCTCTCCTCTGAGCATTCGGCCAGCAGAAACATGAACAGCAAGGAGAAACCTCCCTGCAGGAAAAACTCTCTAACTACGAAACCTGGGAACAGAGACCCATTTGGCCCTGAAGATACCAATTTCCTACCTTCAACCTGTGCCGTTGGTTCTGCACCAGAGACGGTTTTGTCTGCTTCTGCCAGGTTTTCAGTCACAACTTTAAGCAGAACATTTAAGTCCTCCTGACTCAGGATAACCTAAAAACAGTGGCATTTCAAGGGGAAATTACATTTCTTCCAACTGAATGAACCACCGCTGAACAATGGGGACTATCCTTGCACATCAAGTAAACGGCTACCTTCTCCTGCCTTTTCGGTAAATCCTTCCACACCCATACCTTTAAAGTGTGTCCAATAAAATGTGAAATAAAAGCAGACACATATTTATCAGCCCTTAATAGTCCAGCTACGCTACCTTTCATCATTCACTATCCCACTCCAATTTCCTTGCTTCTACTGCAACCATAACTAAGCGAAGGTTCTAGTCAAGATCATTATGTCAACCACTGTTTGCTATATAAACATCATGCATTTAAAAGTCACCTCTGCGGCTCTTCCTCCCTTCCTCCTCAGACAGACACCTCCTTCAATATCCCAGAGGCCTCTTTTTCCAGTCCCTGAGGGGCTTAGCCTCAGCAAAAGCCAAGGTAACAAGGTCACCCCTCCCCAAATCACCATGGTCTCAAAGGGAGCCCCTAGGCCCCAACTACTGGGGGACCGTTCAGCACTCCCAGCACACCCCTTCAGCAAGGACACAGACCAGAAAAGGCACCTCTCATAATACTGGAATTAATCAAGGGCTGTTAAAGAGGTTAGAACCCAGGAATTCCTCACGTATGTGTATAATGAAGGATCCCCCCCACACACACACACACACACTTCCAACACAGAGCTGCAGTATAGTCAGAAGAGCTGCTTTTAAAAGCACAGCAGCATCTGGCGAGCAGGAATGAAAAGGGGATCCTGCCAAAGGCCTCTGCCCATTTCTCTGCATCTTCCATTTTCTCTCTCTCGGGAGACTGGGAGAAATGTACAAGCACACACAGGAAGGGAAATCAACTTACGCTGATAGTATCAAGATAACCTCTGACTTCCACCATGGGTATTTTGTGATACCACATTCCAGCCAGGTTGCGGTTCACAGAAAGGTCCAGATTAATAGGGTGCAGAATTTGAATGTCAGGCTGTGAACCCCCTCGCTGCAAGACTGTCCTATAGAAAGTAACATGATTATTATGGGGTAGCATCCCTTAATGCCCCCAAAATAATGCTGCGTTTCACTGGTAAAAAGAAAAGAGAAATCAGATTTACCTTGACAACTTCAGCTGTGTGAGGTGTACATCCATTTTATCCATGATTGGAGGGAGCGGGCAATTCTCTGCCAGCACCAAACTGAATTGGTTTTGTATTTTAATCAGTCCAAGATCAATGACAACAGCATTAAAAGACACAGAAGACTGCGGTACGAGGATGACCGGAGCCTTCAGGTTTATGTCCATGGAGAGACGAAAACTCCTCTGAGCAAAGTCTCTCATGCTGGTGGCAGCCTTTTCGGCGGCTTGCACCGTAGCAGCACTCAAGGCCTCGGTGGCAATTTGGAAGTTGCTCAAAAAATTCTGTAACAAAGCAAGGGCTTGCAGGTCAGGAATGGGGCGAAGGAGCAGTGAGGCATTACTTAACATTTATATTTACATTTCACATTTTTGAGCATCCTGTTAACCACATAGAGAGATCCTGTGTTTTTTGCATACTAGTATAAAGACTTCCTTCCACGCAACATGAAAAACAGAATAGAAACTCCCACATTGGCAGTCTTACCAGGAGCGACATGAGGAATTTGTGCAGATATATAATCTGAATGCACCCCACTTTGAGAGCCACGGTTCCATCCACTTTGGACATATCTGTGTAAGCTTCGCCCTTGGTCGCCTCTGGATATAACGCCAGATGGAAACTGAAGACTTCATCACCGACAATTGAAACAGCCTAAAAAATGGGCAAGCAAACATATCATTTGCTAGATATATAGTTTCTAGATCAGTTTCTGGATCAGTATCCAAAAGACGTTTTTGCAACGCTCTAAAATGCAAGTGCATGGTGGTTCTTAAGACTGCAGTTCTGAAGGCTAATGTGGACTTTGAAAAGTCAAATCAACTCTGACTGGATTTGCAAGCCATTCCTTTCAAAACACTTGAGAGAAGAAACTTCCTGGAGGCATTCGTGGTGCTTCGCATGGCAGATAACATAGGAGAGCCATTCTGGTCTATAGTAGCTAAAAATCAGGAGGAGTCCGGTGGCGCCTTTTCAGACTCACAAATGTTGTTACAAGGCACCAGCGTTTGCAAGCTGCAGCTCCCTTCATCAGCCACACATCTGAAGGGGGCTGCAGCTCACACGAGCTGGTGCCTTGTAACAACATTTGCGAGACTGAAAAGGTGCTACCAGACTCCTCCCAATTTGTGGACGCCATCCTATCATTTCAAAGCAAGCAAGCTGATTTCCAGCACAGATTTTAGCTTTTCTAAAAGACGGAGGATTCAGTCTTGCCTTACTGCCCAAACCAAGCAGCTTGCAAGTCTACAATATAGTGTGCCAAATAACATTTGCTTCTCCTTGACGAATAAAAAGTCTTTTATATGAACGATATCAAAGACTTGCAGTCAAATGAGTAACTGTACCTTTTTATGAATTGTCCTCGAATCAACATCTATAACGTCTATATCTTTCAGCCGTGCAAAGAAAATGGTTTGACTGGACTGCAGAAAAAGAAAGGAGTCAAGGCCTGAAAGGGAAAAAATGGTTAATTATTTTAAAGCATGGTTGTTAAGAACCATACAAATGCAATCATAGAGCCCTAATCAAACAGACTAACCATATTACTCAAATTCCAAAAGCACATTTTGAGGCTGTTTTACAACTACTGTATTTTTAAGATCTGGGCCACCGAATACATTATGTCAATAGCCGAGGAACTTATCTCATTCTGCCCTGTCTTGGCGAGACCATTCAAAGCGCCCAAATCTATGTCCAGCTGGTTTTTCCCCCCTCATTTCAAGCCACCAGAAATATGTATATTTAACCTGACATTCTGCTATACGCTAGATTAGAATGAAGAAATGAGAAATGGATACACTCAAGGTCCTCTGATGTATGGAGTATGTTTCGATAATTCAAGCTTAGAGAATGTTCTTGACAGCTTGGAACGATTGTACGAAATGCTGCATCTTCCCATTACCTTGGATTTTGATTTCAGCAATATTGTTCTTCTCATCGCAAACGTTTAAACAGAAGGCCTCCATCTTGGCAAAAAGTTTGAAATTAAACACATCCTTGTCTTTGCTCAGTTTTGCCACTGTAGGAAGAGATTAAAAAAAAAAATCAACATGCTGTAGACCCCACCTTCGATCGGGAGAAAATGGCATCCAAATATGCCCCCCCCCCCGCTTACCTTCCTTCCAAGCAGACTCCTTCCTCTGTCTTTCCTCCAGTCTCTGCAGGGCCTGAGGCTGCTGGTCTCTTGCTGGGATCACAGCCATGAGATAGCCGAGGGCCGAGAGAAGAGCCTGGGTGTGCAGCAACACTTGGAGGGAGGAGAAAGCCACCTGTGGGGTTTGGGGGACAGGGGAAGGCACCTCTTCAATAGCAAGACCTCGCAATTCACCCACCAGTCCACAAGAATCGCTTTCTTAATGCACAAGGATTACATTGTTGGTTAGGGGGAAAATATAGGGAACCTCTGCATACTGCCTTTCATGCACATTCCATAAATGGATCTCAGCACAGCTTCCCAGAGAGAAGCAACCGTTTTCTTAAAGAATAAAAGTACCCCACTCTGAAGAAGACTGGCTTCTCTATTTCAAATGTCAGCTTATGACTCAAAACTACTAAAAAGGACACAATGCCACTTCGTTGTCTGACCTGGGGCATGACGGATACTTAGCTTACCAGGCTGAGGATGCAGCGGGTTGTTTCAAAATGAGGGAGGGCCAAAGACAGGGGACCACCTTCCTTGACGTAAGTCAAGAGCAACAACACAAACAAGAGTTTATAAAAAGCCAGGCCTTGCTCAAAAACTGGCTTACATTTTTCCATCCAAACCACTCTTGTGGGGGGGAGTCAAGGAGCCTTCAGTAGGACCAAACCTGGCATTATAGGCATTATTTACAATAAAGGTTAGAATGAGGTTTCTTAAATTATTCTTACCTCCACTCTTTGTTCAGTATTGTCAAAAACTGTCTGAAAATTTGGACCATTTTTACTGGCCTGAGGGCAAAGATCAATGAATAAGTGACTAAAAATTAAAACACAATCTTCATATCATACAAAAGCAATTATTTGCTTATGCAGTTCAATACGCAACATTTGGTAACATTATTTTTAAAAAAGCTCTTACCTTGATATATTCTACTTTCAAAAGATCTAATCCAGATTTATCCGATGAACTAATCAAATGAAGTTGCTGCCGTTCACCTACAAAAATATGCGACATCTAAGAAATGACAGATTGTGTAAAGTCCACAGATTTTTTTTAAACTAAGCCTTTTCTAGAATTAGCACTTCTAAACAAAATCCACAAAGCTTTTTTCGTAAGTCTTTTCTACCAAAGGACCACAGGATATAGATTAAATCATTTTTCTTCCCCTCATTCCCCTGCCCAAAAAGTACATTTTTGTAACTCCTTAATTTATTGACCAAGTTACCTTGAATTTCATAATAAGTCAGGCTAATCTTTCTCAAGTAAGACACAGCTCTCAAGTCGTATGTTCTAGCCGTGGCTTGCATCCCAAGCTGCTTTACGTTAAGTATAAGTATTGTTTCTTCTCTCTGCAGCTGCTTGGTGAGCTCCAAAATCACCTAAACAAGAGATGCTTGTTAAATTTTGCACTCTGGGCATGTTCAGACACCTGGTTTCTCCCTGATGCTCTCTGTCTCTCTAGCAGCCCACACAGCTGAATTGCTCACTTCCACCTCCTGGAAAAAAACAGATAAACCCACACTTGCCTCCTTAATTTCAAATTTTAATAGCAGGTCTGTCAGCTCTTCCTGAATGGCTCCAGTCTCATTCCTTAACTGCCTTTCTTTAGGGGAAACCGCTTTCCCTGGTTGCTGGAGATGCTCATCAGTATCAAAATATTCATCCTCAGATTCTAAGGAACAAAGAAAGTGCTATTAGAACATTCTGCGGGCATCAAAATATTCTCTTTGGAATGTACTGATTAATCTCAAACGTTTAAATAAAATGGCGTTGGTACAGTCATTTGCAGTTTTTTTCTAACTACCATAATTTGTTTTTTAAAAAGCGTTCCATTTAAAGGTTTTAACTGAAAGTTAAGGTAAGTTGCCTTAGCCAGAAGAATCCCTTCTAAAATAATCTGGTGATTCCATTTAGACTGGGCTCAATCTCAAAGGGCTTCAGCAAAAAAATATTAATATAGTCCTCCCCACACCCAAAAAATACTGCAAGGTTTTCCAGTCTTCATTTATAATTTTTCAATTTATTAATTTCATGGGTTTGGGTACCTGCAGATTATCAAGTGATAATTCCATCAAGAGAAATTAGCAGCATCTCACTGTTCAAATAATCATTTACTATCCAATCAAGGAATTGCACAAGAGGGAGTGTGGGATCTCCTTGGAGGCAAAGGTTAATAGCAGATTGAGCGGGTCTCCCTTAAAAGCTTTGTCTGCTGGCCCGACCTTCTCAAGGAAGGCAGAGGTCCTGAGTTTCCTCTCAGCAGCGGCCCTCTGCTTATGGAGAAGCCGTCCCGGATTGGCAGGGGCCACCTCTCCCCACTGTTTATTTGGTGGGCTCCAGATACCCTTTCTGTTCTACTGAATCAACAGCCCAGGAGCCAAACCCAGCGATTGCCTTGGATTTGCCCCACATTTGGATGTTCTTTCTTTTTTCCTTTTTTACCTGATCCTAATTCTTCCAGAAACAACGTAGTACCAAGGAAATCTTTCCTTCCTGCAGAAACCACAGGAATGGCAGGAACCTACAAAAGAATTCAGGACAGTGAGAAACCACCGAACAACACTTCAGGCTGGAATGGGCCCAGAGCAGTGCAAAGATGGCACAACTGCTTCACAAGTATTTGTTATTGTGTATCAGAAATGTCAATCATTATGCTAGTTACTGACTGGACTTGTCCCAAAGTAGAAATTAATTGTTCCCCATGTGTACCTTACCCACTATTCTCTCACATAGAGAAGGACATGCATATACCTAGGCATCTCTCTCTTCTTTCAACAAAAACATTGGGGGGGGGGAGGTGGAAAAAAAACAGGCTGTAGGTCAGGGAAGAGCTAGTTGCAGGGAAGCAAAACTGGATGGAGATGAGATGAGGCGAGGCGAGGCAAGGGAAAGGAGAGAAGCCCTGTTTGAAATCCTCTAACAAACAGTGTCTGCGAAGCAAGAGATGCTCTTCAGGCCAATCTTCTAAAAGATCTGTGCTTTTCAGCAGGGATGCCTGAATTTACACACCCTGCTCGTGGCTTTGTTTTTGTTTTTTAACAGATTCTTCTATTCCTATCAGACGATAGGATGTGACCCCCTCGATTGCTCTCTGAGATTCAACATGTTTGATAGTTTACCTTTGCACTTGAAGCTGAAACAACTGATTTCTGTGGAAGGGGAATGCTATCAATAAGTTCAAAAACACCTTTGATCTTCTGATCAGAAATTCTCAGATGAACTAAAGGAAGCTCCCCCGACACTTTAAACCTAAGGATATAAAAAGATTTTCACGCTGTGTAGAACAGAACTAGGTTGCTAATAACTTTGCTACACTTTTGATCTAGAAGGGAAAGCATGCACGCGCACACACACACACGCACACAAACATACACAACCCCCAAATCAGCAGGGCTCTGAAACTGGCACACACGACGTGGAAGGCACCATCAAAAGAAATGTAGTGAGATCTTGTTTTTACAAACAAATGCACTGACCTCTGGCTACAAGGACATGAAATGAACTGCCAGCTCAGAGTTTTCTTTGAACTGGGCCTGAACGAATGTTTCTGAGAAACATCCAGTTTTTCAGTTTTTAAAAAGACCATTAAAACTTCTCCAAGGAAACCAGCCTGCTACTCTCTCCCAAAAAGCTTTGGATAATTAAATTTAATTAGCAAGAGTTTCATGGCATCCATCAGTAGCGTATGTGTGCCAAAGTTTATAGTTAAAAATAACTCTCCCAAACAACCCACAATGAAAAACGGGCCATGAATTCCCACTCCTGCCAATGATGTCACTCTAGCAACGCTTTAAGAGGCCTGTGGCAGCAACGAGCATGTTGAATAAAAGTCCAGCTCCCTAGCCACAAAAATGCGGCCTACCCCAACTGAACCCTATTTACAGCTTTTAAAATTGCTACATTACTTTGCCATTCTGACATCCTTCTCCACCATTGATTTGGCAACTTGTACACGCATATCCATGGGACGCAGTATGTGCAGCGATGATGCAGGCTCAAACCGAGCCTTTTTCCAGTCTTCTCCTAAAGTACAAGTAAAGAGTGGCTCATCCTTTGGTAATTATAGCATAATACTAAATAACACTGATGCGCAGAAGTCTAGTAAGTCCTAGTGATGCCACAAAAAAAATGAAGAATTACATATGCTCAACTGCCGAACTCCAGAAAAGTAAATACACTCCAATTTCAAAAAGCTTATACAGTTAATACTGTACCACCTGTGCCAATTTTCTTTTGCTGGCAGGAAACCTAGGCCTTCGGATGGAAAATCACACTAGTCCAAACACTTTTGAACCAATCTCCCGAAGCAACCGGTGGCATCGTCTCCACAGAAGTCCTTCCCCAAGTTTGCCTTTGGAACAATCTCCCCCGACATACCCTGCAGGCCTTTAGAAAAGCAGTTCAGATCTGGCTCTTCCAAGTGGGAAGCAGGGTCTATTTTTAGTTCTGACTGCCATTTCATTGTTTTAGCTTGCCTTAGTGGTTTGCGTTGTTCTTCTTTTATCTTCTGGTTTACTGATTTGTGTATACCACACACCCAGCATCATGCTGAGTTGGGTAGCCATATAAATATCCTAAATAAATGAATAAGCCTGGCGCCATGTAATGATTCTCCCTGCCTGCCCCTAAGCTGCTTAAATGTGCTATTTTAATTTCAATCTATGATAGTTTTAAACAAATTAACATCTATCCAAGTAAGTACTCTAGAGATATTTGTTAAAAGAGGAGGAGGAAGAGGAGGAGGAGGAGACCAAGTCAAGATGAGACACACACTGGCATACGGCCTCTGGGTCAATTCTGAAGTGGAACCTCACGTTGGTATTAAGTTGACTTGTTTAGAAATGGGACAGATGCCAGCCCCGTACAAGTTCAGATGAAGCAGAAAAGAATCATTGCCAATGATCAAGTTTTCTTCCTCCCTTAGGTATTATTACATTTTTAAAGAATTACTTTCCACTTGATACGTAGTCAAGAGTATTTTGTGTTTAGAGTCATAGTACCTGATCTGCCAAACAGCAGTTGTACGTTCCTGATTTCTACATCAAACTTATCATATGCTTTGTCCATGATCTCTTCCAAGGAACTGCTTGAAGCGTGGTGGCTACCTTGACTGATGCTCTTCAGCTATTGAATAATAAGTTTCTCTGTTACTTAAAATGTAACTGTCACTTAGTGTTCACAAAGTATCAGTAAACACAACCAGCCAATTACTGTATTCATCAAAGCATATGCAATCTATGTTTTTGTGTGTAATGGTGTACCTTTTTTCTGCATTATAAAGTGCTATATCAACTACTTTTCATGCCAAAAAGCATTTTCTATTTTTTGTCTCTAAAATGGGCTAGCATCAACATGCCAATTGCAGACCAGAAAACATTTAACACTATTAGTATCAGTGTCATAATTTGGTTACTATATTTCAAACAGAAATACGTATTTTCATGACATTTCTAAACCTTTGAAAGAATATATGCATGTACAGGACCTTGGAAGTGAAAGGCAGCAGGAAGCATGGAGGTGGGGAACTGATTTTCATCTTCTGCCTGTTTCTAAGTTACACTCGAGAGGACAATGTTCCCCTGTTCCACCAACCTTTAATTTCACAATGACTTGTCTTCAATCTTTAAGAAAGGTCATCATAACATACCCGGAAAGTACCGAGGTCCAAAATAAGCAAGTTCGACTTTTCACAGTGGAAGCCACTTTGTGGGATGAGAAGATAGGAAGGCTTCAGGTTAATCCTGAGGTCAAGGACTTTTCGAGTTTCAATAATATGCATAAGTCCTAAAACAGGAAGCAGAATGGAGCTGAGAAGGACGGTCCCCCCCTCCCCAACTGGAGCAGAATTCTGTTTAAAATACATCACTGCCCCCAGAAGCAACGAGAAACCCCTTGCCCCCTCCACACCTGCATATATTTTCCCACAGTGTCAAAGTGGCTAGTTAGTCATCTGGAGTTGACTTGCTAGCATGAGAAGAGACGCTTCTAAAACAGACCTGTGGCTGTCCTCTCTTTAATTTCTTCTAGCTTCGACAAAGTAGCTGTGGTTAAGCGTTCAAGGTCCATCCCTCGGTTTGTCTGGAAGAATTCCACCAGGGCATTGATCGTTCTCTGAAAAAGAAGGATGTCAACTGTATCATTTTCCCCCCCTTATGGAACTGCAAATACGGAGTTCCGTAAGGGAAAAAATAGGAAATAGGAAAGGAGGAAGATCACATGTAAGAATTGATAAGCATTTCACGCTGATATCACTCACTGCATCGTAAATAATTTCTACAGGCTGTGACTGAACGAAGAGGCTCTGATCAGCCACGCTATCCTCCGGATTTGTCTCAAATTTTATTTCGAGCAGAGATGACTCAGCATCACCAATGGAAGCCACGAGAGAAGGTACAACATTCTCTTGCCTCAAGCCCGTCACATACCAATGCTCAAGCTTTGCCTCTATCCTGTAAATTATCATGGGAAAGCAGAATTTCAATATCCATGTAAATAGGATATACCAAGGATGTAGTATAAATAGTCTCAGGTCTATTAAATAGTTTTTAATAATAAAACAAACACTTGAACACATTACAAATGACCAGTGTTCTAAGTTTAACACTGTTACTGTCTTCATGAACACATGAGGAAATATCTTGTCAAATCACTTTCCTGTTTAGTTATCGACAAGGTATTTCCCACGTCTTCATCATACATGTGAGCATGCATTCAGGTAACACTACGGCAAAGAATAAAAGGAAAGGCGCGGAAGAGCAGAATTTGAAGACCAGCTTTCATGCAAGCCTCCCTGTTTGTTTCAGGCTTCACACCCTTTCTCTTCCAACTGCACTTCGTAGAAACTAGCTCAATTGCTCAGCCAGCCAACTTTGCACAGCACAGATTGGTTGGAAGTGAGGATGTCAGGAATGGTCAACTTGTTTCTCCTCTCCAAAATATAAGGGACTGACTATACGAGGGTCTGTCTTAAAGAGGGGGAAGTATCTGTACAATTAATGAAAAAAAAAAATGGAAAGGTTGACAGCCCAGCTGATGCAGGAATGGGAACAGAACCCAAACGTTAAACTTAGAGAATCCAGTTTTGTTCTGCCAAAGTGTTATCTGTCATCAGTGATGCCCCCCAAAAACCACCCCTTTCAATAAACCAACAAGCACATACACACAGCGCCCATAATGAAACTGGAACTGGAGTCATTTTTGCTCTGCGTCCCAGATGGCAAGACTTCTGGAACTGACGCTTACTTAAGAGCTTGTGCGCCTGGCCTCTGTGAGATTTTAGTACTTAAATCGATGATCTGAATTTTAAGAGTGTCTGGAACGTTTCTGTCCTCTTTAATAGTAAAGGAAGTGCTTAACAGTTTCAGGGACATCACATGGGCCACATACTAAACAGGAGACAAAAGCATTACAGAGCATTAGTCATATTAACAAATGCTGTATTTTTACCATAAAAATTAGGCCCAGGGTGCCCCTACTCTAAAACACAGGTGGGAAAGAAAGACAGACGTCAACTACAGCCCACTTGTCAGTTTCTCTGGCAACGCTCAAACTGGGCTCATGCAATGCATGAAGCAGTAATATCACTGGTTTTTATCATTTGTAATTCAATGCTCTGAATTACCCAATTCTGCCTGAACTCTGGGTGAACCCAGCCACTGTGGTCCACTGAATGGCAAAATGCCAGCTTGGGCCTAAGGTGTGAATCCAGCCAAAAAATGCAGAGTTGTTTTCATGTCAACTTTCACCCACAAGAAATTGAGAAAATCATCATATTCTGTGACATGCCAGCTTTAATCAAGAGGCACAAATACCTTTTTGGGTAAAGTCAGATTGTGGGAACTGTCACTATACCCAATGGCAGTGAAAAGCTTTGCCTTCTCTTCAGGGGTCATGAGGTCATCAATAGCTGCGGAAAGGGTTGAAGATATGATCGTGAGCCACTCTTGAGAGGCTACCTTCTCCCAGCATCCTTCAACTGCACACAGTTCTCCAATTCACAAGTGATTTACAGCAATTCCATCATCAAAGGTTTTACATATAAAGAGACAGCAGGCCCATGTTCATGAATATAAAGATCATTTTTAAAAGCATGAGTTATCCCAGCAACTGTTGCACAAGCTCCCTTGATTATTATTATGATTGATTGATTGATTATTGATTGATTTTCCAGTTTCTGTATACCACCCCAGTCACTGAGACGTTGGGTAGCACACAACAGAGAAAACCGGAATGAGAAACCACCCAAAGGAATTAACATGAAGCCATCTTTAACGTAATAAACAATTCTTGCCCAACAACTGCATTATGACCTGTCACTTTGAACTGGCAGATGTTTCCTAGTGATTTCTTACAGATGTTAAACAAAGAAGGGGAGAGAAAGGAGACCAGTGGTACTTACACCTGAGCAGCCAAAGGCTCAACCCCCCATCCTCTAGGACTGGAACTGCTCACTCAAGTCAGACCAGAGCCACCATAAGACGATGCCCCTGCTCCTAACCTTTGCAGACAGTCCAGCACGATACCATGGTGAATAATGCCAAATGTTGCCAAGAGGACCAAGACGACAAGGAAGGGTACCCTCCCCACATCCAGGTTCCGTCCATGACAATTTACCAGAGCAACAAGGCCCTTTCTGTTGCATGTCAGGGCTGAATCCCAACTAAAGGGAATCCAGATAATCTGCTCCTCTTGGATCCTCTGCAGCCAATTCATCACCACCTTCTCAACAAGTAGGCAGAGGTTGTCCAATACATCTGGATCAAGACAGGACTTCTTCAGGGGAGGGACCCACCACTTCTTTCAGATGCAGTGGCACAACGTCCTCTCTCAAAGGATTAATCCCTCCTGAATCCAGCTGTCCAGAAGGGATGTGGGTCATGCCTTAGTGCAGTTCATAAGGAGACCCCTATCTACTTTCTGAGGTTCCACAAGTTCAAAAGAATCTCTGACTATAACAAAAGACATCACCCCACTTACCTCACTTGTACTGCTCAAACCAGAGAGAATACAAGCCAGGAAACCCGCAAAATTATCTGGCAACATCATGTGGGCCATCCAAGTGGAACAGCACCCCCCCAGAGAGCCCCAACCCCATTCGCCTTCTGCTGACTCCCCAGGTGTTTGGTCCAGGTGGTTAGGTGAGCTCTGCTGTTAATGCAGTACTATGACTGGGACATACTGTCCACCTCAGGCATCAGGGGTTATTGTTTGCAACCGCTGGTTTTAACCTTTGTATGCCACCCAGAGTCAGTGTTGTGAGATGGACAGCCACATAAATCGCTTATATGAACACACCCTTCTCCAGAAGGATCCAGGTCCCTCTTAATAGGGCTCCCAATTGGGGTCGGAGGACACAATAAGCACAAAGAAGCGTTGGCGCTCCGTCCCTCTTGCTGCCGCCAAGCAGGCGCAAAGCTGAGCTGGTACCGCTGTTCATCTGCCTTCCCCTCTGCTGTCACATTCCCACTAACCTGGTGTCTTCACTTCACCACTCTGCAGCCCAGCTGAACGCTCAGCCGCTTGCAACCACCACTCTGGAGCAGGGCTGCTGGTTAGAGTCAGGCTTACTTTCAGGAACTGACTTTTCTTCTTCCGCTTCTTTCTTCTTGGACTCCTTCTTCCCCCACAAGCCAGAAAACCATCCCCTTTTTCTCTCCCCATCAGCAGATTTCTTTGACAGCTTTTGTCCTGACCTAACGACCTGTAAACCAGAGAGTTAAGATGCAGGCAAATGACTAGAGGTACTATACTTTCACCAGCCTCAACCTCAGCAAGCAGAACAGGGCTCAAGAAATGTAATCTTGAAAGGTCTGCTGATGCTGCGGCCAGACATTTTAGAGAAAAGGGGACTGCCGCAATCAGCATGGTCGTTGGTGTGACCTACAAGCAGCTTGCAGGACCAACACCTAACAGTACAATCACAAAGGGGGACATGGGGTGACTCCTTCCATCACTGGACAAGTGAGTTGTGCTGAAGTAAGTCCCACATGCAAAGAAGCAGGCGGAACCCTGCAGCCAATTCATCCAGCAAGACTGCTACAACCAAGCGAGAAGCAGGGACGCGTATATTGTGTCAAGGACCTAACCTTCACCATTCAGAAGTATATTTTACATATACACAAACCAACCAACCAACCACTATTTTGCACATGTGAGGTCTATGTGGTAATAGCTAGTTTATTATCACTAATCAACAAATAAAATGGCAAGAATAATTCAAACTAAATAATCTGAAAAGGGCACGAAGTTGTGTTACTATACTGTAAGTAACTTCTCAATTTGCTGTCTTTAGAAATTAATTATGTTTGGCTGACAATGGAACCTGTCCTGGAAGTATTTCTATCGATGGTCAGTACAGCCATTTTGTAAATCAGATATGTAAAATTCATTTCATATTTAAACTTGTGGAACCCTTGAATATTTTAAAATCCATATAAAACGAATATAGAAAAGAGAAGAAGAACCTACCTCAGTCTGTGCTTGTTGCCTTGCTAAAACGATGTTGAAAACATCCAGAGCTTTCTCTAAGTCCTGTGGAGCAAATGCATATGTGGAGTTTCAGGATAACGTCCATATGCTTCCTCCAACCCTGCTTCTGTTAAAGCTGTCTGCTGGCACCAGCCCCTGTCTGATCCAGGGCCAAAGCTAGCGGCCTGGACGAGGGACGGCCCCGCGCAGCACGCGTGGAAGCTCGGATGTAAGCAGAGCAATTAACTATTCCACCAAGGCACCCTTAAGGTTAAGAGCTCATCATTCATTGCCAGTTTCCCCTTTTGCATTTATGGCTCATCAGTCTGATCCAAGATTAGAGCTTGTTCTCCAGGGGCCAGCTCGGTTTTAGACTCCCCTGTAAAATGCCTTCACGAGATAATTCCGTCGCCGCTCCCCCACTTTGGAACACCCTTCCTGCAGAGATTCGGTCAGCTCAGTCCCTCCAGGGCTTAGGAAAGCTGTCAAAACCCATCTGTTTCATCTAGCGCAGGAAGAGAGGAGGCTCAGACTGGAAGTCAGGTTGACGAGGGCACAACCTTTGTATCTTCCGTCTCATCTTCTGATTTCAGTTTGCCTTTTTAATGCATACTCGGGTTATTTTTCTTTTCTCTTAGGGATGCTATGAGGCTGTTAGCTGCCTAGAACCTTTGAGATTAGTGGGCACACAGATGAAGTAAGAAACTACAGAAGAAGAACTGGTGGTATTTCTGCAGCTCTACTTTGCCCAGTTGTGACAACACCTACAACGTAAGCTCCCTTCCACGTTTCATGCAATCTACGCACGCCTTCTAGCCGTGTCCCAGTTACCTGGATTTGTTTCTGATTTTCTTCTGACAATTTGGTTTGCGTCAGTTTAATTTTATAAACGTTTTTGTAACTTTTTAGGAGTTGTCTGTGCCTCTTTATATTATTCCATAACCACATCTGTGAGCATCGCTTGATGTGAAGGTCAAGAATGCAATTTCCTGCATACTTCCACCTGGAAGAAATAATCAACATTATTTTCCTCTGAGAAATAACTCAGGAACACTTTGAACTGACTGGAACATGACCCAGGGCAGGCAGGATATTTGCAGGCAAGGCCTTCTATGGCTAATATTTCCTCAATTCAAGACTTTTTTTCCTAACTGAAACAAAGGAGGCTTGTGATTCTGCATGAAAAGGATGCAAACTCAGTTCCAGTACTAGAAATCAAATTGCTTTCTTAATGCTAAGAAATTTATAGGGTTCTAGTTAAAATTGAAGCTGATCCAGCAAGCAAGAAGCCTGCCATTTTTACCCAAACTCATCTACTGAGAGTTAAACAATTTCTGAAAGTCTGATTAATGGACCTCTTTTCTCGCTTCAGCTTTATTTACAGCAATAAAACAAATAATTTAAGCTAAGGCTCTTAATTTTCTGAAATACAAGTAGTCCTCATTTAGTGACTGCCTCATACAGTGACCATTCACATTTACAATGGTGATAAAATAGTAACTTTGCGACCTACTATTTGCTGCACTGAAACACCCTTGCAACCAGATTAGAAGCAATGCAGAAATAGCTCCAGCTCACCATTGTTCGGCATTCCCATGCAGAGGTACTTCAGGTCTGTATTTTCTATACGGGACATTTCGAACCATGTAATCGATGGATTCCAGGAGATCAATCATACTAAGGTACTACATGAATAAGAAACAACAAGGAATCTTAACCAGAGAATCACTGAATTTTGAGCATCAGCTAAGGAAGTTGTATTAAACGTTTCTAATAATTGTAAACTGCCCAGAGTTGCTGGGAATTGGGCGGCATATAAATTTAATAAATAATAATAATAATAATAATTATTATTATTATTATTATTACTATGGCAGTCCTCAAATTAATCACGAACAATTAACTTCTTGGAACAAAACCGTTTATGAAAATAAGCACAATTCACAAAAACGGGAAAGCAAAATAATAGAGCATGTTAAACCTGCAGCTTTGTCAAATCCTTGCTGTCACACACATTCTTCCAGGACAGCTTATGGAAGTCATCACCTGCCTTCCGTGGGTGACAAGAGTTGATGCCATGTATCTTCCTACCTGAGGCTTGGTCAGTTCAACAGCAATGCTCTGGACTTCCATGCTCCAGTCAACCTTGGGAGTTTTTAGTTCTACTTCAGCATGAGGATTAATGTAGAGTTTTGCAGAAGCCGATACAGGCTTAAATACTTTCAGAAAAGAGAGAGAAATCAGGAAAAATGGATATAAAATCATTGCTGAAGAGTTCAAATCTAAAATATGCTACTTATAAGCTTATTACTACTTGAGTTCATACGTCATGCTGTGCCAAAAGCCTTGGTTTATAAATCACAGCTGGTGTGTTCATACAACATATTGCGCCAAAAGGACTCACTCTGTACTCAGCACAAGATAGAAACCATTGAGTCACAGAAGAAGTTCTACCCTGGGAGTAGCATGAACTCTATCTGACCTATTTATTTCACCCTGATCCTCTCCTCCTGTTTCTATTCCTCTGTGAATATTGTACTTCTTGGCCTAAATCCCTCTTCACAACACAGCTCCATGGCCACCAGATTCTTATCCCACCCCACACCCATTTGCTTTACCTGGTAGAAAACCAGAGTACCTACAGAAACCACACATGCTTTGTGTAAGCCCCAGTTCCATGCTCAGTCTTCCAAAGTTCCACCCATGGGCTATCTGCCATTACCAGTAGTGAATTCTGTGCATCCATGCCCCCAATTCTGTCCTTCTCACTTACTGTACTGATAGTCAGGAGGCTCCTGATTCATAGAAGGGACTCCTTTTTTCAACCGCTCCTGTATGTGGCAAAAAATAACAACAACCATAATTTCAAGCTTTCTAACAACAAATGTGTAGGAGAACATAGTCCTGATGAAGCTCAAATGACAATGTGGACATCTCACCACTTTTCATTGAGGTAGAATTCATGGTACCAAAAATAACTCAACCATAACACAGAAGCTATCCCACCGTTCTTCTTCCACAGTACCAGGGTACCGTACAACCTCTCACTACACTTTCAGACATAGCCTGCAACATCCATAGATGCAAGTCAAGAATATTCTGGTAACTTTCAAAGCAGCATCAGGCCAAAGACTTGCCAACAGTTACCCTGCAGAGGCCTAACTCTCAAGACTGATGGGTTCCAAGGATTTTCTATGAAAGAAAGACAACATCACTGCATGGAGCCTCATCTTCTAAGTAGCTGATAGGTAGCATAAGGAATTAAGAAAAAAGCTTCATTAGAAAAAAGTTTTAACAGAAATAAAGTTTCTAGATCAACTAAATTATTTAGACCTACTCTGCACAACACAACAAGTCAAATGTTTTAACTTCTGTCCTCTCTAACTGCACTGAAGACCCAGCTGTTTGACCAGGCATGGGGGTCAGGACGTTAGTGAAGCCCTGGAGGGTGGGGCTGTCTTTATTTTGAAGTTTTAATTCTTGGCTGCCATTTCTTTTCTTTTTCTGATTGTATGCCATATTTTATAGTTATTTATATTGTTGCTTTAATTTTAAATTCTGCTCACCACTCAGAGTTGCTTTGGCAGGAGGGGTGGCCATATAAATTGAAATAAATAAACCAACATTCACACAAGAAAACAGACTAAATTTCTGCAGTACCAAGAAGTAAATTGATGTGTGCTTTTTGGCTGCAAAACATCAACACAGTGTGGGGTGCAGTGATTCGTTCAATTAGGAAAACATGTCAGAATGTCTCTCTTCCTTTTGCCTCATCAGAGGAGACAATGCAGAAAAAGTCAGAGGTTATATCTGAGGGGCAGCTACCCATTGCAAAATTGCCCAATTCGAAGTTAACACTTTATTAAACTCTACCCCTGTTTAGCACAGTGTTCAATGCTGGCTGGGGAATTCTGGGAGTTGAAGTCCACTCATCTTAAAGTTGCCAAGTTTGAGAAACACTGGTCTTGGAAAAGTACTCCTGCTTCTTATCTTACACTTGCCCATTAAGTTTGGGCTGTCGTGGACTTAGGTGATGACACCATGCAAGGGAAATTCCCTCAAGTGGAAAACCCATTGCAAAATTGCCCAATTCGAAGCTAACACTTTATTAAACTCTACCCCTGTTTAGCACAGTGTTCAATGCTGGCTGGGGAATTCTGGGAGTTGAAGTCCACTCATCTTAAAGTTGCCAAGTTTGAGAAACACTGGTCTTGGAAAAGTACTCCTGCTTCTTATCTTACACTTGCCCATTAAGTTTGGTCTGTCGTGGACTTTGGTGATGACACCATGCAAGGGAAATTCCCTCAAGTGGAAATCCTTGGCTGCTTGCTAATTTCATCTTATACTACTGCTCTTTCAACCTTATCGGTAAAAAGACAGGAAGAAGCGTGTTCATAAACATAAGGTACATTAAGTCTTAAATTACCAAGATCTGCTCCCGGGAAGAATGATAATACATTTCACTGTCCACATTCCAATAGGCACTGAGGGAATCAAGGCACAAAAGCTGAAAGAACAGATGTAATTCATTAGCTGCTACAGTGAAGACTACCAAGTATCACTCAAACACAAACGACTTTAAAATCAGGGAAGCACTTGGGGAAGCAGTTCAAAGTACAGACATTTACAGAGATGGGTATAAAGCCAAGCCAGAACAGTTTAGTTTGAGGGAAAGATCACCTTGGTCTAGACAAGCTGCCAAAATCACTTCTTTGGCTGGGAGCCAATTAATGAGTTTGTTCTGCTTGCCCAAGGGTGTGTCAAAACAGGGTATGTTTATAGGAAACCTGCTTTCAAAAGAGCAGAGCAGAAACTTGCTTTCAAAAATGGTGTGTGATCTTTCAGGGAAGTGAGGGAGAAAGAGGGGCAGAATACCCTATTCAAAAGGTAAGAGATCAAAAACCCTGCCATGGGTCCAGCGCTTCAGGCTGAACCACAGCATCACTGTGCATCATGGCTATTAAAATTCTACCTGTCCATGCTTTTCCAGGTATCTCTAGGAACTACTAAAAGGAAACTCCTGCACTTGAACATGACAGCTGTACCTTGTATATGATCTTCGCAGCCTCATTTAAAATACAAGGAGTCCAGTTTTCATTAGTAGTCTGGAAACGAGAAAGAAATCACATGATATTGCTTGTTTCAAACTTCTCAGTGTTACACCATTTAGGTGCCAGGCTTTTATCACACTTGGAACTAATTTATTTCCTTCCTTGAAGTCAAAGTCTCACAACTAAAAATGTCTCTTGCACCATCCCCACTAATTCCCAACTGTTGATAAAGCTGCAACTTGGGTTCTACATTAATTAAGAAGCATTTATCTTTATGAATGGCTTCTAGTGTGAAAATACCTATATAACCTAAAACAACTTTTCATTCTTCGGTTAGTCCATAGCACATCAGGAACTTTTAAACCCCTTACCTGCAAACTGAGCTCTGCCAGAGTCATTCCTAAAGAAATTGGTCGGTTAGGATCTGTGATCTACAAAGTACCAGAAGAAAATATTTCGTAAGGAATATTAAACATTTTAGTATAATTCCTGTGGTTGCAATTTAGTTACATCAAAAAAAAAAAATCTGCATAAGATCTGAGATAGGTGCTGGTAAGTGAGTAGAGGATTTAACTGTTCTGTAATTCCATTATTTTCATATATTTTGAAGCAACAGTAGCCTTCTGTAAACCTTGTACAGGTAAGTTGCCAGCCTTTTCATGAAACAATGTATTTTATATTCTTACCTACTTTTTATGCCACTGTTTATTGAAGCTATTACACTGATCCTTAGATAAGCACCCCAACACTTCATATACATTCAGTAAGCCTGCTTCTTTCAGTTAACCAGTTCAAAACAGACTTCATGCTACTTACATCGTCTTCATACTTGATATGGATGCCAGTGATTTTGACTTGTACATTTTTGATGACTTGGGTCGCAAGCTTTTCCAAAAAAGTATCTTTTTTCTCTTCCTTTGGTTTATCTAAACAATAATTTGTAAGTTAGTTTCCATCTCATTCCTTAAATTATTCCTTAAACTCATTCCTTAAACTATAAATTAGATTATCACATTAAGCATCATCTGTTTACTTTTCATCACTTCTAAACAACGCAGCGTGTTTTTATTTCATTTTAAGATGCAAGTTAAGAAAAACAGCATTGTTTTTCAGAATAAAAGCCAGACAATTGGTTCATCTACTTCAGCAACGAATACGCTCTCTGGGCATGTTTCCAGGGTTTCAGAAACCAAAGACCAAATGTGAGCCTTCTGTTGCACAACCAATCTTCTGTCACCGAGCGACTATCCTTCCCTTTTTTTTCATCATCTTCTCTAAATAGCAAAGTCTCAAGCAAGGTGACAGTCATCACGTTTCCTTCAGCACTTAGTGATTGACAATTGATAGGATTGAGGTACCACATACCTGCCCGTTTCTGAACTACATATCTGAATCATGCAAGATGTGTGCAATTTATGGTTAGTGTTACATTTCCTCTAGTGTGCACAACTGGGTCAGGATCTTACACTTCCATTTTTAACTGAGTTTTTGTTTGACTAAACTCCAAATAATTTCAAGTGCTGTTTTCCTAAGTTTAAGCACAATGCCAATCATCGCTATGTCACTGAATCAAGGGGGAGCACATTAACCCAAAACACGCATGCCGTACAAGCCACAGGACAGTGTGACATCTCAGTCAGACCATGCAGCTTTTTCTTGACAAGGCTGCTATCCCAAATCAATAAAAAGTAACTGGGAACTTCTAGCAAATCAAGATTCTTTGACCCAACGACAGCTTCTGAGTCAATCTCGCTCTTAAGAAATTTAAGTTCAGAGGGAGTGTCATCCAAAATAGGAGTGCACAAGGGCACTGCAAAACCAGTCTCTGGCTCCAGATCAATCAGCAAACACAACAAGCAGCGTTTCGCTGCTTCACATTTTTGCTGCCAGATGTCTCCATGCGATGGTTTACACTGTGCACTTCCCTCCCATCTAGCTCTTAGGAAATCGTGACGCAACCAGTTCTGCAGGAAAGACGACACAGAGCTTTACTGGGGCCTAACTCAGTTCTCCTGCATCTGCTTCATTTGAGCGTAAGACAGCCAACACTACGATGGAACTGTTGGTTTTCCAAATGCCACACAACATCCTTTGCTTCAGACTAAGATTCCTGTACCTTTTCCCACATATGTTAGTGTATATTCAGCTTTATTGCCAAAAGCACAAGACACTATGTTTTTAAAAAGCTAAAATACTACAGCAATTGATAAGAAAATACAAATAGGCAAGAAGACCCAAAACTAATCTGTGGAGAAATGAAAATCATAATGGCTTTGAAATATAACTGGAAGTGTAGATATAATTTGCCAGGCATCTAAAAGAACATTTAGAAAATATGACTAAGAGACATTAATTTCAGAAAAAAAAAAAAACGTTTCTCACAAGCCTGGAAGCCTATAGTTTAGAGAGCCCTATAAACATTGTATATTAACTATTTTAAGTAGTCATGCAATTTAAAAAGGTAACGTTATCATTTCAAGGAGATGGCTGTCATGATCTTAACCTAATTTAAAGCATCCAGCCAACAAACTCCAAACAGAGGCTAAACTTTATTACAGATAATTTGTATTTTTGAGAAATAGCCAACATGGAAAAATATCAAGCAGAGAACATGCAACTGAACTGTATATAAAATAAACTGTTTTCTCCCCAAAGCTACGAGCACAATATTTTCAAATCTGCAGCTCACTTTTCATCGCAATGTACAACATGAAACACCTTTGTTAGTTTTCCTCTTGTTTATCTCTCATTACCTTCATTTCTCATGAAAACACTATTGACAAAGATGAAGTTGCACATATCACTGCAGAATTTTTCAAATCATTTTACAAAAAACAGAAGCAGCAAACAGAATATTCAGCAAATTCTGCTAATTGTACCCACCTTTTGAGTGCTCACGAGCTTTAAATGGTTTCTTAAAATGTTTTTTAGTCTTTTTAGACTTACGTCCTTCATAGTGTAAGCAATTTTACAGAAAAAGGATAAATTAAAGTTAGGAAAGTCTTATAAAGCAAGCAACAGAAATAAAGGAAGACAAACTAAGAAGGTAACTGAGGAAAATACCATCTTTCATTAGAACTGTTAAATTAAATATCCACAAGTGCCTGTAGTAAACATTCACTGCACTATTTAAAAGCGTTTCTGCGTTTTTCATATAAGCAGAGCATGAATATCAAATGAAACAGAGTAACATTTCTAGCTGTTGAGGTTAATTAATTTTCTAGCCAACAAGTTCTCAAAGTTACCTGAAACTGAAACGCTAGTATTATTAAACAATTTCAACCCATGTTGGGAAGACGTCCTACTAGTGTTGCTTTGTGCAAAACTTCCATCGTAAAAAGAGCAATTCTGTCACCAGAGACTGAGAGTCCATCCTCTAAGACCCTCAGCTGCCTGCAGAAGCAACTTGTCTCTCACCATGTTTGATTCATACACTATGTTAAGGTATGGTGCGGTTGGTTTAGGTTTGCAAAGCTTGAAATATTAAGAATCGCTTAAGTGTGATGGTTTTTTAAACTATCTGGAAGACAGAGAGCTGAGAAGAGAAGAGTTACCATCCAGGGAATGCTGCAGTAGTTGGCAGATTACAACCGTTAGTCTTAAGCTAGATGGTTAATCTTACAATCCAGCCATCCAACCTCCCAACTGCTTGAATGTCGCCATTAAGCATGCATACCCACCGGGCGTGTGCACAATATTCTCCAGGCCATATATGAAATCTGAAGGAGCTCCTTCATCCACATGGCAGCATAATCAATTAAAAAGCACACATTTAAAGCACAGAAGCAGCTCTTCAAGCTGAACCACCAATACATATTTTTGAGCACTGAGACAAGAGAGTTCCTACGCATTTCGAGAAATAAAGCTATGACCCACAACCATATTCGTCACTGAGAGCTTCAATCTACAGGGAGATTTCATGCCTTAACCAAAAAGTCCATAAGCCACGTTTGTTTTATTTTTTAAATTATGTAAGACAAGGGGCTTCTAACTGAAGACAATGTAAAGGACAAAAATGAAAGCTAAAATTCCCAGTACGGCATGAAACAGATAGTAGTATCTCTAAAGCATGGAAAAATAGATTTTAAGCTCCTTCTCTCCCACATAAAGTTAACAAAAATGCAGGTAATTTGTCTCTTGGGATTTTCGAGGACTGCTATGCTTCACTATGGCTCTCTGGAGTAGCTCTGAACATAGCAGTCATGTTCATCTCTTAAAGATAATATACCTTTTTCTGCTGATTTTCGTAAGGCTTCTTCAATTCTTGACAATTCCTTTTGCTTATTATCTTGTAGATATTTTTCTTCTTTTTCTGCATCATATTTGATGCCTGCAAGGAAAAAACAGTAAGGAAGTCATACTTACTGCATCCTTATGGAACATAGTATCTTGATCAGACCATCACCCTGCCCTTTACACATTCACTTATGCAGCCTGCCTTTCCCATCTCTCCTTATAATTACGATAACCTTCAGAGACCAGAAATTAAGAAACATATTCTGAAGCAAGCTCAGAACTTCAATACGATCAGCTTTGTTTCTTAGCATCTAACTGTTATTGGATATTTCTGATCTTCTACTTAAAAGTTTCTTCATCAAGACCACATGCTTAAGACCAATGTAATATGAGTGTCTACTGCCTGGTAAGAAGTTTTATGTAAGGTTACCAACAAAGAAAGCCAAACTATGTAATTCTGTGCAGATTCACCTGGGAGTCAGGTTCCACGTACACAGGAGGACTTAATTCTAGGAAGCCCTGGACCGTAATGAGAGACTCAGACAGGCATCGGCCCACCTTGACGAAATTTTATCTTGGCCATGCACTTTGTAAAAGACACCAGCAAGTCAAGGCTGAAAAAGGGTTTAATTTCAAATTGGTTATGAGCGTGAAATTTCACCCACTCTTCTATTTTGAGTGCAAAACAGCTTTTGGGAGTGTTTCAAACTACAGAGACTTCCCAATGTTCAAAATGGGACGTTTTATGATGTTTTATGCTTAAAATGGCTGAGAGCTCTCTGCTTGGCATCCCTCTATCGGCAATCTATCCCAAATTCAGAGACTGATAGTAATCAACCCAATGCAGCTCCGCTGAGCGATGTAAATTTACCCCAAGAAACTTACTTGCTCCAGGGACAACAAGAAGATACAAGCCTTCTAGGGATGCAACTACCGCTTCACTGTACAAATTCTTCCAAGGAATCTTCAAAGTCAGCTTATCTGCAGACAAAATATCCTCTATTCAGGTTTCATTTATTCTGCTAATACGTTAAATAAGCAGCGAGCAGAGACCGCTTATACTGTGCACCTAGATTCTGTCTGTAGGGACAATATTCAAACGCACCTTACTAGTTATTTCCATCATTTGTACTTGGTCTGTGCCTGGAAGCAAACCAACAATGGAGAAATTGTTGCCTGCCTGACTGAACGTAAGCCTACAAAGCCAGTTCTGGCAAAGGGAGAGCTACTGAATGTTGGCTAGCTGCAATTTCCAGGTATTCTTCAAGCGTGGGCCCACAGAGTGCACAGAGCCATCTAAAAATCATTCTGAGTAAAGAACTTACCTATTTGGCCAGCCTTTACTCTAAACGGTACATCCAATTCGCTCTAATCAAGAAAGAAAAGACTTTTTAAGCACTAAGTTGATCCATAGTAAAAGTTACTAATCAAGCCAGGCAGGCCCTCGACCAGCAGGAAAGGGGGTTAGTCCCTTCAGAGCCTCCTCGTGATGGCCACAGATGCTTTGCAATCCCTTGATAAGAGAAGAGAGTAAGACAGCCCTGTGGGTGGGATACTTAATCTTCCTATTTTGCAAGAATGGAAACATATTTTGGAGAGGCCACTGGGGTGTGGTGGACCGGGGAAAAGACTCACATATTTTTTTGTGAGAATGAACTGGCAGGACT